GGGAAAGAGGGAAATTGATACTAACATTCACAATGGTTAGGCAGCTTCTGCCTTCAAAGTGGCACAAAAAAGGGATTGGACATTCTTAAATGAACATGTAAGCAAATGTCCTTTACTAAGTCTCCAGTAGTTTGTGTAATATATCGATTATTCTCTGCATGCACCAATTCTGTTACTGACACGTGATCCTGATGTTATAGGTGTTCAGGTAAAAAGAAGAATGGCATTGGCTTTGTTTCACTGCTCTGATATTTAGTTCCTTTTTATTTATTTATTTTTAATTAATTGAGCCTGGATTCTTTTATGTACCTTAAGTTCTCGCTAATGTCCCTGAGAATCTTCTGCAAGACTTGGCCCAGAGCCTAGGACATGTTATGAAGTGTTGACTTATTTGCCAATGAAAGGAAAATGTTTAATAAAAATCTTTGTTTTGTTGGCATAACAGTAAAAGACTTGCTGCTTCAGGTAGATTCTGCTCCTTTTTCTTGTCTCAATCTTGTGTGTGCAAATAGACATTACTGTTATTGTCTATTTCACAGAAGTTATTTATTCAATGACCAGGGTTGTTAGACATCTGCATCTAAACCTGTGGCATATATAGTCAAGGAGTACAGAAAGGCCCTTTGAAGGTGTGATTCACCTGACCTACTTTGGCTCACTGTTCTAGCATGAGATGGTTCCCACCCTGGGAGGTGCCTTTTTCTCTCCTTTGGGTATAAATCAAGCTGAGGATGACTGGCTTGCAGATAGCTGTCTGCATTCCTTCACAGCTAACTCACCGTTGTTAGCTTTTTACTAATTTATTTGATTATTCTGTCATTTAGGCAGTTTGCTGGCAGCCCACCTACCATTCTCATTTAACACTCATGAAGAAGAGATTTTCACTTTAAAGAGTAAATTGAATCATACACGTTCGTATGGGGTCTGTACCTACAGTACCTGCTGATTCTCAATGATCGTGGATGTAATACTGCTAAATCTTTCAAAGGCTTTAATGAAAGTCATCTTAAACCTGACTGAATTCTTGTTATCATGATTCGGTACAGGTTTTGATTGGAAAATGTCATGGCAAATGTTTCTGAGTGAGAGAAGGCATGTAATATTGCAGTGTACTACTTAATAGACAAAGAGATCTTAAACCTGTATGTTTAAGCATGTCAGCTAATTGTTCATGGACTTGTGTGTTAATTCAGCTTGTGAAATTTCAGCTTCTGTGGCTTTCCTGGCAAGGAAAGTTGCAGCATTTCCCCAGCATGCTGCTTACTGCAAATGTCAGAAGTCCATAGCTTTCAGTATTGTATGTACCATCCTTGTGTTGCCTTTCGCACTGCACAGTATTGTTTCTGCTTTGTTCATAGCTTCTGAAGGCATCTATAGAATTTGTCTTCTACTGGAATTGGTAAAGGTCTGCCATGTTACAGAGCCCTAGAACTGATGATTTGTCTTGAGCTGCTTCTGTAACGTTTCACTGGTTTCTCTCTCTACTGTAGAAAATGGCTTCAGGCATTTTTTTCCTGTTACATTCACTAGGTATCCAGATCTGGATAGCAAAATGTGCAGGACAATGGCTTTCATCTTAAATGCCTGTGACTTTCAAGTAACACCTGCAAACTGTCTTAAAAAGAAACTCAGCAATTTTTTTCTTCTGTCGTTTCAATCACAGCCTTCTTGTCTGAACTGCACTTTTTTCTCCCTTTCTTCACAAGACCTTTATTGTTATGCTTAGTATGTGAGGATGTAGTTCTCCTGATGACTTAAATGTGAACTTCCACAGTTTCTGGGCTTCTTTCTCTGATGAATGTAAATTGTCCATTGACATAGGAAAGATTTGAAAGCCTTGAATATGTTTAATTTTGTTTAACATGTGAGGTTTTAGGTAGAATCACACTGCAGTCCCTCCCAAGTACAGACCAAGCCTCTGGGCAGGCAGCTCTACAGAGCTGAATTAAATTCATAGTACATGGCATGACTGTCAATTCTATCACAATTAGAAATAATGCCAGAAATGCAAAATGCTCTGATACATTAAAAAGCTGAAGATTTACCAAGTTGGTCAAAGTGCTTTATTTCTACATTCCTTCTCTGTCAGTGTAGGGACTAATTTACTGCTTATACACAGACTGAAAAAATGGATTAATTCAGAATTTCAAATAGCACGTTTCTCAGGCATATTCTTGTTTCAAAAGGATATGTCTTGGGTATTATCCTTTAGATGGAAAATTAAGACAGTGAATTCTCTACATCTGTTTGATTCTGATGATCTGATAGAAAGTTATTTCATTTTAGGAAATGTCTTGTTTTGTTTCTTCTGGAAGTAATTATATTCACGAAGTTGAAATCTTCTATTGTTTGTAAGGCACTGTAGTATCCATGGAGAAAAATATATTAAAATATATTGGCAAAATGATGTGATTACATAGTAAAGATCAATAGATGCTTAATCTGAAAATATTTTCAATTTATTCTATTCAATTTTAATAATAAGATTAATAGAATAGACAATTTATTGACTTCTTTAAATACCACAGGCAAATGCTTGAAAACTCAATTTATGAACTGAGAAACACAGTAACAGAACTAGAAAAAGGAGTTAGCAGTGCTGAGGATGAAGGTAAGTGAATTGCAAAATAGTCTTGCTAATTTATTAGGAAACACAGAAAATTAGTTATTTTGGGTGGGTGCTACAGAGATATAAATTTTTTTTTTGAAACTTAAGTTTTCCCTCTTCAAATGTGGCTATTATAGGTGTGGTGTTCCAGTTGTAAAATTAAAGATTACTACATGCTTTGTGTTAGCTGTGATTATTAATTAATTCTGTGATTCTGTGAATACCATGAATTCACAGAACCAGAACGGTTTGGGTTGGAAGGGACCTCAAGGATCATCTAGTTCCAACCCCCCTGCATGGGCAGGGACACCTCCCACTAGACCATTTGTAGAATTAGTTAATATTCTGGCCACAGTAAGGCCAGTGATGAATTGACTTGATGTATATTTTCAAGTGCTTTTGTATGCAGAAATCCTCATTATGAAGATTACTAACTGGGAAATTTATCAGTCTCCAGAAAAAGGTGTGAATAGTTTGAAAAAATGCGAACTTTTAGTTGAAATAATCTGGGAAACAGAATAACACTATTTCTTTTTAAGGTAATGAATGGAGAACCAGGTGTGAGACACAAGTAGAATTGAACAAACAGCTGGAAAGGCAAATTAATATTCTTCAAGAGAAGATGGAGCTTATTCGTGGCAGCCCAGCAGGTAGAAATGGGTACTGATAACTGTTTTTCAATAGAATTAGTGATTATATGTTGAAATTATGTAAAGGGGCCAAACTTTCTGCTTATTTGTAGATAAATTGTCCAGTGTTCGGAACTTTGATCAAATGCCTTTGGTGAGTACTATGGCATTTATTTGGTTAACAAAAAATAGCAGTGTATTTGAAGGACTTGTATAATCTTTGTCATGACATAAAGTATCAGCAGTCCGTTCCAAAAACCAAAACAATCAGTTTGGCTTACTTTTTTCTTGTTTCAGATAGGCAGTTGCATATAAATTTATAAAGTAAAAAGTAAAATCATTAAATAAGGAGATACATAAGACCTGAATGTTGGGAAGAATCATGTAATCAAATTTTTGGCTGAGCATAGGTTATGTGACTGGCTTTGCAGCAAGGCATATAAGATGGAATAGCTGGACTAGTTCCATGAATAAATGGAAAAATATTAAGCCTTGATTGCAAAATCATGCAATCATTTAGGTTTGACGTTTTCTAGCCCACCTCTCCTTCTCAGTCAGGGCCAGCTACAGCCAGGCTGCCCAGCATTATGTCCAGTTGGGTTTTTAGTATCTCTGCATACGGAGACTCCACAACTTCTCTGGGCAACATGTTCCAGTGTTTCACCACTCTCACAGGAAAATAACTGCTTTCTTATGCTCAAATGGAACATCACGTGTTTCAGTTTGTGCCCATTGTCTTTTGTCCTGTCAATGGGCACCATCAAGAAGAGCCTGGCTCCCTCTTCTTCATTCCTTCCCATGACGTATTTATACACATTGCTGAAATCTTCCTGAGCTTTCTCTTCTCCAGGCTCAGCAGTCCCAGCTCTCTCAGGTTCTACTCATCTATCAGATGCTCCAATCCCTTAATCATCCTCATAGCCCTGTGCTGGACTTGGTCGAGGAAATTAGTATTTTTCTTGTACTGGAAAGACCAGAACTGGACCCAGCACTCTGAATATGTTTCACCAGTACTAAAGAGAGAGGATGGATTACCTCCCTCAGTCTACTGGCAATGTTCTTCCTAATGCTGCCCAGGCAGTGACTGACCTTCTTTGCAGCAGTTCATTGCTGGCTTTTGGATATCTTGTTTCCTCCTATGACACCAAGGTCATTCTCAGCCAAGTGGCTTCCCAGCCATTCAGCACCCAGCATGTGCTTGGAACTGGAGGTTATTTCTCCCCCGGGACAAAACTTCACATTTTCCTCTCTTGAAATTAACCTGTGTAAAGCGTTTGACACTGTCCCACATGACATCCTGGTATCAAAACTGGAATGGTACAAATTTTATGAATGGACCACTCATTGGGTAAGGAACTGGCTGGGGGGTTGCACTCAAAGAGTTGTGATCAACCACTTGATATCCAGATGGTGACCTGTGACAAGTGGTGTTCCCGAAGGTCGGTACTCGGATCAGTGCTGTTTAATGTCTTTGTCAGTGACATGGTGTCATGATCCGTGACCTATTATATCTCCTTATTGGAGTGTATTAACTTATCAGGATTTGCTGAGAGATCCACACGTGGGTATCGCCTCACACAGAGGATACAGGAACTTATGTCCCGACTTTTTTGAGTGAATAACTCGCTCAGTGCTTACTAATATTTCTAACAACAGCACGGTTTATTGTGGGGAAAACAAAGCAATTTGGGGCAGGAGGTTCAAAAGGAGTGATTACAACACATTAAACATATATGGGTACACCTTAGTTACACATCTTATTCAAGTGAGGGAAGAAGAGGGGAGGGATATGCCCGAATGGCTGGATTATATTTTCCCCTATAAGCTGGGGTAGCCGGAATTGTCTCACCACACGGCAGTGCAGGTAGGATGAGCTGGGTAGCAAAGAAGCTGCGGGGACTCCAAGTGCAGGTCGCCCTCCCCCCCCCGTAGCTGCTGCACAGCTGTTTGCAGACCCTGGAAACGCGGCGGTTTCAG